ATATATATATATATATATATATATATATATATATATTAATGAAATTTAGAGTAACCGTAACATTTTTTGGATATAAAGAGATTTTTTTTTCCAAAATATATCATTATGGTTTTGTTGTGGGTTTGTTTAGAATACTTTTTTCTTATATATATTTTAAACATTTTTTTTAAATTTATATCTTATTAAATTAGAAGACCGTCTAACACACAACACACCCCACCCTATCCGGTATCCACCACATATCCACCGAAAATCATGTCATGTTCCTTCCACATATCTCCGGCCACCACCTTCCAACAATTTTTATTACTTCTTAAAAAAACAGCATTCTATATTTAGTAAGCAACCACGTTAAATAATCTTGAAATAAGAATATATACATAGACTTATATTCTTAATAGACAAAATTGCATGAATGGTCCATGTGGTTAGGTGAAAATTGCCACTTTAGGTCAAAAAGATTTGACTATTATTCGTGATCTAAAGGTTTTCATTTTGTTGCGAGTTTGATCTATTTTGGTTTAATTTTTTATAAAATGACGATTTTGCCATTTATATTTTCTTTTTTCCAATTTTTTTATTACAGAAAAAAAAAGAAATTCTCTCTCCCTCTCTCTCTACACCAAAACTTTATTCTATCATCATCTTTACAAATCAAATACCAACATCAGTCCAAATTATCTTCACCTCCATCAATTATCAGAAGCAAAATTCAAAAATCTCAATCCATTTTAGGAATCATCATCCATAACAATCATTGAATTAATCTTCACCCTAGACCCCACCCAGGTCCTCTCATTTCCATTTCCCCTTATTTTCTCTCTTTTTATCATGTAAAAAATTCTCATATTTGAAGAACCATAAAGTCGCCATTGAAGCTGAAGATGGTGGGATTTTTCGATGGTGCTTGATGATGATAATGACCAGCAAAAGGGACACAACGATAATGTTGGAGATGGTTGAAGGCACCGACGAGAACGGTGGTTCACTATGATGATGTTGGTAGCATTTTAGGGTTTGATGATGAATAAGCACGGTGGCGATGATGTTGGTAGCATTTTAGGGTTTTCGATGGTGTCTCCCCCTCTATTTCCAGTCGTGAAATGTCCCATCTGAAAACCCTAGCCGCCAAGAAACCGTAACTTCAGATCTCGATCTCCTTTCTCTCGTTGTCAGTTGTCGAGGTTCAAAGGGAGGGCATCAACAATCGAAGCGGATGTTTGGGGTGGTGCTACCTGACCGAAGGGAGGCTAGCAACAACCGCCGATTTCTTCTTCTTTGGCCGATGGTAAGCAAGAAATGAGAGAGGGAGTGAGAGAGAGAGAGGGGGGAGAGAGAGAGTGTGTGTGTGAGAGAGAGAGAGAGTAATTTCTTTTTTCTTTTCTTTTTTTTTATTCTGTAATAAAAAACTGAAAAAAGAGAAAAAAAAATACAAATAGCAAAATTGTCATTTTATAAAAAATTAAACCAAAATGGATCAAACTTGCAACGAAATGAAAACTTTTGGAGCATTGGTACTAATCCAAACATCAAACATGTTTGGCCCAAAATGACATATACCACATGGACCATCCTTATAATTTTGTCTTCTTTATATATATCCCATGGAAAGATAGCTAGCTAGCATATGCTGCAGGAATAATAGCGTAAACAAATCACCGGGTAAACTATATACATTTCCAATCAACCCTTTCAACGGACTATGGAAAAATATGACATTAAAGATAGATCAATGACAATTGACAATTACGCAGTGTTTTCGAGTTTTAAAATTAAAGGAATGTGGAGGAAATGGAAATAAAGAGAGTTTTAAAATTAAGGGAACGTCGAGGAAATGGAAATTAATAAAGAGAAGGAAAAGAAGAGAGCACAATAAATAAATAAATAAATAACTAGTTGTCTTCTCCGGTAAAAAGAATTGAAAGGGAAGCAAACTTATGTTCTTAAATTGGAAGGAAATAAAAATAAATGATATTTTTTAAAAATTTGTCCATAATTTGTTATTATATGAAAAAATCAACATGTTTTAAGTAAATGTGTAGATCTGATAACAAAAATTGTATATATTCACGAAAGTTGAATAAAATATGCTTCCATAGTTGACTTTTGACGTGTCAAATATGCCAATATTCAAAATTGACAAAATGATGCTTTCAACCCATTAAAAATCTTGTCCAGATCATAAGTATGTCAATTTTTAATTTAAAAAGGTATGCCAACTTTTAATTTAAAAATCAGTGTCTGATTCGCTCAAGTCAAAATTTAAGCATATCCATTGATTTTTAACCTAATTCATTTTTACACAAAAATACCTTTTTTGTCAACTTATTTGTTAGTTTCTTTTTTTGATAACCAAAATATGGTTTTACTATGACTACAAGTCTACAACTTTTAAAGTACATCCAACAAACATCATCACATAATAAGTAAGTTTTTCCTTTACACTCCTTTCTTTTCCTTTCATTTTTTTCCCTAAAAAAACTATAAACGCGTTTTTAGGGGCATAATGCCGTAAGGATGTTTTTCGCCAAAAAAATAAAAAAATAAAAAAAATTACAGCACTTATTTACAAAGCACATTGACTATTTTTGCACTCCAGAACAAGTTTTTATGGGCATATTTAGAAAGCATATTCAGTTTACTCTAAACTCTAAATTTTAATGGGTAGTCTTAATATGGTTTCTTTTTTAAATGTAGATGTAGATATACATATATAAGATAAATACGCACATGTTTTATGTTGCTATATTAAATTTACATTTTATTATGAATATCAATATTGTAGTGTAATTCTTGAATGATTTAATGCGTAGGCTTAGTGTGGCTTTTACGAATGTACACATACATATGTAAGATGTATAGACACTTATGTTTTAAACTTTTACCTATGTAATTGAGGGTGTATCATTGTGATGATATGTCAAAGCTAAAGAGTGGAAGACTAATCTCAACTTGAAATGTAGATCAATTTATGGATGTGGTATCGATTAGAGGTATCTCAGGGTGAGCTCGATGATATGCTATGATGTTGAAGTCTGTATGAATTGGTCAAATGAGAAAGGGGTAACAAAGGAGAAAGTAAAGACTGTGGAATAATATTAGTAATGTAGTATGTGGAAGATATGTTGGATAACCTATTGACTCATGTTCAAATCCTGACACTACTTAACCTCTATGGCCATGGAGGCTCGTCTGCAGTGACTCCAGGGCATGTTTGCAACGTGGGGTTAGCCGGTGCGCCATGGAGGCTCGTATGCACTACTTATCTTTCTACCCATGTAAAATGATGACATGTGTCTTAAAAAATTATCAATTTTATCCAAATATGACACTTGTCACCATTTCACATGGGTAATAAGATAATTAAGAAGAAAAAGTACGAGGATATTTAATTTCTCCAATCGTTTAGTTTCTTCTATCAAAAGTAAAAGACCTTGAATTTTGTTTTATCTATTGTTGGTCAACTGATTTGCATTGCAGCATTGCATTTGATGCTTTGAAACCAACATCTGTCCTATTTCTCAAAGAAAACTAAACCTCACAAGCATTACGTGACATACCTTCTCCATACCATCTTTTGAAAACGTTTCAGACACGCACAATATATTTCGAAAAATCAAAGCATTATGCCTCCAAAAAAAGTAATGACTCATCGCAAGGTCTGTGTAACTGGTGCATCCGGTTTCCTAGCATCCTGGCTCATCAAGCGACTCCTCTCATCTGGTTATCATGTCGTTGGCACTGTTAGAGACCCCAGTCTGTGTCTCACCATCTTCAATCTCTTCCTCCTTATATAACATCCTACTAACCCTTTTTTTTTCTTTCTTTTTTAATTAAAATTAAATTCGCAGCAAATGAAGCCAAACTAGCTCACCTATGGAAACTAGAAGGAGCAAAGGAGAGACTCCGCTTAGTGAAGGCAGAGCTAACAGAAGAAGGAAGCTTCGATGATGCAATCATGGGATGTGAAGGCGTCTTCCACACAGCTTCCCCTGTTCTCGGACATATTACAAACCCTAGGGTATGTTACATACGTACGCTTCTGCTTTCAGTTTTAAGCATGATGAAGTGTTTTGCTTCTTCAATCTGAATGTTGTTTTTCAGGAGGAGATTTTAAAGCCGGCTGTTGATGGGACACTGAACGTCTTACGTTCATGTAAGAAGAATCCGTCACTGAGACGAGTCGTGTTCACCTCATCATCTTCTACAGTAAGAGTAAAAGACAAATTTGACCCTGAAAAACCCGTGGATGAGTCCTCTTGGAGTTCCGTTGAAATCTGTGAGAAGTATCAGATCTGGTATGTACTTTCGAAAACCATGGCGGAAAAAGCAGCGTGGGAGTTTTGCAATGAAAACGGGATCAATCTCGTGACTCTTCTTCCCTCGTTTCTTGTTGGACCAAGTTTACCTCCTACTTTATGTTCTACAGCATCAGATATCCTCGGATTGCTTAAAGGTAACTTCTCTTCTCTAATAACCCTAACTACTAAAACCATAACCATGTGTTTTATTTTATTCCTAAATACATACACGTATACGTATTTTGATGAACAGGGGAAACAGAGAGGTTTAAATGGCATGGAAGGATGGGATATGTTCATATAGATGATGTTGCTCTTTGTCATATTCTAGTTTATGAACATGAAAAAGCTCAAGGACGATATTTATGCAGCTCAACTGTAATCAACAATGATGAACTTGTTTCGATTCTGTCATCACGTTATCCAACACTACCAATTCCAAAACGGTATTGAAAATTAATTTGCTATAACTTACTTACTATAACTAATTGAAAGCTAATTTGCAGGTTTGAGCAGCATGATCGACCATATTATGAGTTTAGCACGACAAAGATAACCAGTTTAGGGTTTAAGTTCAAGTCGATTCAAGAAATGTTTGATGATTGTATCACGTCTCTTGTTGCACAAGGCCATCTTTCTATTCCTTAGTTAAATCTGGAAAGTGGAAACTTCTCTAGTTTACTTTTTTTTCATCAAAATGTTACCTCAACTGTTCTAATATTTACCGATACATCTTTCTATATATAGTAATCAAGAACAACAATTTCGTCCTAAAAAATATTTTTGCTGTACCTTTGACTTTGAGAGAAGATTTGATTTAAACAAGATTTTGGATCCCTAATTGGTGAAGGGAATCTGGCCCCACAAGAAATACTCGCTTTAATGTTTGGTGCCGAAAAACAACAACTCCTTTATACGCTGTTCTTGGTATGCCATCCTGAATAAAGTAAAAAACATAGGTTGTTATTTGAATAAACTGCAACTTTGGTCCCTGAGTTTATCTCTTTTTATACTTTTGATCCCCCAAAGTATCTTTTTTGCAAATTTAGTTCTTACTGGAGGTTTTTGTAACATTTTTTAGTCATTGTTCCAAGTAAAATGACTATATTGTCCTTTATCTGATTTTTTTTATACCTTCCACTCTTCAAAAATGCCGAATTGTTGAGCGATCTTTTCAAAATGTGATTGATCTTTATATTTTATACGCACATCTCCATCTACATTATTTGTCTTCAAAACAAGATCACTTCCATAAAGAGGTTTTGCATTTTTCACCATGTCTGCAAAATGCTTCACAAATTTATCCTACAAAAACAATGAAAATGGTTAGTTAATTAATTAGCTGTTGACTTATTAAATTAGTTTTAATTGAAATGCTTACCTCCATTAGGTAGCTTAAGTTCATTGATTTCCAATCAACTTTGACATCATTGAGTTTAATAGGTTTAAGATATTGTTGGAAGAACTGTCCCAAACTAGAACCCTGAAAACATATAGAAACAAGTAAGTAATCAATCTATTGCATTATTTTTATGTATGATTAAACAAAAGATGAAATGAAAAGTTGATATAGAAGATACCTACATGCTCCCCAAAATTGTAAGTCCTGCATACTTCTGGACGAATGAATTGTCTCCCTTTGTGATTTTCTTGTAATCTTAGCCAGTCATCCCAGTAAGTAATCTTTTGTCAAAGAAAATTATATTTAAAACTTAAAAGTTTGAACCACAAAATATAAACTCGCCAAAAAGGATATGCTTTTGGCCACTTTGGAGAAAGCTCATCCCATGTAGGTTTAGCTAGCATCCATCCAAGACCAGGGAAAAAATCTGACCGATATAGCATATCTGCAAATTTAATTATTTAACAAGATTAAAAACAAATGGTTTTCTATTAGGATAATTGAGAAAAAAAAAAAAAAAAAGAAGATTAGAATTACAAGGATCATGCACAAATTGTTTTTGCCCGTTGTCATTCCATGATGAGATGGCCATGATTGACCTATAAAGTGACTGAATGAGTAATGATGTCTGTCTCGATAAAGTGTTGTGTACACAAATTTCTTTATCTTTTCAACTGGATAAACCGTTTGAACGAAACTAAATGACCATTTTACCCTTCATTAACAATATGGACATAGTATTTATAAAGAAATGGCCACTTACTTATCTTTATCCAGGAGGCCAGCTCCAGCCTCAAAGTAATCAAAAAAATCAGGAGCAATCTCCATATCGTCTGCATCCAATGAATGTCTACTCTAAACTCATAGTGTTCTTTCTAATTCTAAATAACAAAAAACAAAAGTGATATGCTTCAAAATTCATACCTTCAAGTATGATGACACGATTAAACTTATGTTTGTAAAACAGTTGATCCATTGCCCACTTGTAATGACCTGAAAATACGGTGGAAATGCATAAAGTAAAGATTAAATGAAACTTATAAATTTAATTTATAGCTTACGTGCGATCTTGTAATACGCAATTAACTCCCCAGGCCTTTCAGTACGTACAGGTTCATAATCCAAGTGCTGTAACATATTTTACAGAGAGACTTCAATTCAATATATTGGAGCACATAAGCCACTGAGTAATTTACATAAGTAGTCCAATATCAAAATATTTTTCATTTCTGGTCTGTATTTCAAGTCTTAAGGGACCAAAATCGATATGAAGCTTTGAAATGAAGATCAAAACTGAAACATATTATCATTCATTGCTCAAGCAATAACATATTAACATATATGATGACATTACCTGTATGTAGGTCAGTTGATCATAACTGAGTGCCTTTGCTCTAACATCAGAATTTGACCCATCCTGAAAATTATAATATTTAAAGATATGAAAATTGTACAAAAATAACGACGTACTATGGGCTATGAACTCTATAATAGCAACATATACTTACATTTTGCTACCAATATTGTGCATGTACTTTATCTCTTAAATATGGCCAATATTGGTTAAAAAATGTAAGTACGCTGCTATTATGAGCACAAAATTGTTCATATGTTGCTATTATGTGTTATGAGTTACAAATTGCCCTTATCAGTATAAAAATGTAAGTAAGCTGCTTTTATGGGTAAAGAAATGTAACTACATATCTATTATGAATAAAAAGTAAATAAAACGTATATTGGTAAAAAGAGTAAAGTACATTGCTATTTCTGGCAATTTTCCTTTAAAGATTAAGAAAATTATGAAAATCATGCGTACCTGGGATACAAAAATAGGAAACTTTAATGCGACAAAACTATGATATCTGATAATCATGAAGAATGGTTGAATAATTAGTCGACAGAAGCTTAATTGAGTTATGGAAAAATTTAAGATAAGAAAACATTTATGGAAGAAAAACATACTTTAAGATAGATTTGATAGTTCTTTCTAGATAATCAGCACGATTGCATGCCATAATTACAACAGCTGCCACTGGTGCCTGGAATGATGATGTACATACTTTATTATAAATAAAAATTGATAGACAGGAGATTAGAATTATAAAGTTGGTTTTATTATTCTTATACAAACCTGTTCTTCCCGTGTTAAACTTCTGACACCTTTTTCTGGAAATTGATAAGTATAAGATCAGACTGGTAACACGTTTTCATCCATAAAGATAAATGTGGTATTTCTACTAAGTTATCCATGGAATAAGCTTACTTTCAAGATCTTGAACAAGTGCCCTCAGATGTTCACACTCCTGTTCTTGACGTTTTACTTTTTCTGAAAAAAATAAATAAATAAATTTAGAATGTCACATTAAAGAAAACAGTCTCTTCTTGATGAAAGAAACAAAAACAACCATGAAATCATAATGGAAAAAACAAGAAGAAACAGCAGGATGCATTAATCAAATGAGATCAATTACCTTCCAAAACCACAATATTTTCCTGATTCATGCTTATCTGATCAATTAGTAACCGCATCTGATTCCTGCAATGATTTTCTGCTTCCACCTGTTATGATCCAGATGTTCACTAAATACTTGCACAATAGAAATTTTTAGGATAGACAGCACACAAAATCAATAGTGCCAAGAAACAAGTCAACAACTAATAAGTTTTCTAGGGTAAAACAGATACGAAGGATGAAATTGAGTAGATCAATATGATTACATTGTTTAGATGAATAAATTATCAACTACATAGGCTCTAAAATGTTGATATCTTCAAGCAATAGAGAATATATAACTAGGAAAATAGAACAAATATACACTATGTAAGGTCAATATACGTACTGCAGTTTCAAGTGCCTCGGCGTACTCAGATTGTGTGGCAAAAAGCTTCACCTGATGAAAAAGAAAGTAAAATAAGCCAAAGTTAAATAGTTACTCACCAATCAGGAATTAAACAGGAAAGATGCATAACATAGAATATGAGCAACTGAGGATAGCGATTAACTAGACCTAGATGGATGGAATTCAATCGATTTGCCTAAAAAATGTGTTGAAATTACGTCGAACCTGGGTATATATGAATCCGATTACAACGAGGATGAGAAGGTATCTGAAATCGCAAGACCATCTCGCCATTTTTCTTTTTCTTTTTTCGTCCGTAGGGCTGCGTTTTTGTGACTCAAAAGCTTCAGACTAGAAATGGAACTGAAGCCTTCGATCTCTGTTCGCAAGAGGGATCAAGAATTCTGACTTAATTCTTATCTGTTCTTCTGGATAGTCGAACCTTCTTGCATAACTTTACCCATGAAATTTCAACATCCGGGTCATCCCATGTCTGTACTGTAGTGGAAGACTGCTCCCGGATGCTTAAGGAGGTTGTACGGTACAAGTATTTGATTCTCTGCACAACGCATAATTGTCCGTGGGCATTGATCATTTGATAATTATGTTTTCTCGGTTTTAACTTCAGAGTTTAAATAATTTTTTTTTTGGAAAGACCAAAAGAGAGAATGTGTGTGGTAAAACAAAAATATCAATAAGTTTCTCTTTTTTTCACACATATATACAACAATACCCACACAACATAGTCATCTCTGCAAAACTAACTAAGCGAAAATAGTTGGAGTACTTAGTGGGATCAGGGACATGATCTGTCTAGTTTAGATTATGTATCGGCATGGGTTCTATGATCTGGCTAGTTTAGATTATGTATCGGCATGGGTTCTACATGGTTTGCAGTTAAACATACCGACACACTCAAGGATATCAGTAGTATATTAAGATTGGCTCATAAATGAGGTTGTAGTTAAACAAGTAGCAGAAATCCCAATAAAGTAGTTCAAAGCACCAAGGCCAATCATGGAGAACTCTTTGTCAAGTGAGGCAATGATCTGGTGGAGAATTGTGGTGGAGGATGTTGTAAGGATAATGTCATTGACGTACAGTAGCAAGTAGGCAGTAGAATAAATATTGCAATAAACAAAAAGATATGAGTCTGAGGGGCTGTGAAAAAACAGTACTCACGTATCACACCCCCAGCCGGCGGCGGAAACACCGGGCGGTGTAACGTCATTCCTTGTATCACAGTTATATAACATATATTAAACATTATAAAAGAGTTATTATAAACTACATACCTTTATTGATAATAGAAAGTTATATTATTATTCCAGCTTATCAAGT